GGTGTAATATTTAATGTTTTATTTTTATCCTTTAAATAACTTCTTTTTAAAATTAAAATAGTTACTTTATTAGTTTTATCCTTTAAGTGTTTAATTTTTAAAGTTGTTACTTTTTATTTGACTGTTTTTAAATTAAAATAATTATTTATAATAAAATTATAGAAATCAATTATATTTTCTTTTATAATTATAATAATAATAACTTCTTTTGGTTATTATAATTAAAATGAAAAAGATATGTTTTCACTAGGTGTAAATAAAAGCTTAATTTAACTATAGACATTATTTATTATTATTGTTTTGAAACTTATTACAACGTTTTAATTAACATATTTTCTATTTTATATTTTCCTTTTAATATATTAGAATTTTTAGATATATTAAATAAAAAATAAAGTTAAATAATTTATTTTTTATTCATATATTTTATTATTTTTGTAGTTGTTTTTCTTAAATTATTTAGTTATTTATTTCATTATCCTGACGAAATTAAGTATCTATATATGTCACGTGTAATCGAATTTCATATAATATTTTTTTATCATGATAATACAAAATAGTCATCTAAGTCTATTATTTTTGTAAAATGTGTAAAATTATTAGTATAATATTTTCCAAATTGTTGAAGAATATTAAAATAAAATAGAAAATAAAAATGATTTTTGTAATTTTATAAAATTTGAAGTGTTGTCGTGAAAATAATAAACATTTTAGTTGAGTTAAAAAAAAAAACATTTTGTAAGATTCCAAAAGTTAATTTATCTAATTAGTTTTAAAACTTCATAAGAAGTATCTAACTTATAAGAGAATTAAAACTTGAATAACCTAATGTGATATCTGTTAAACTTGGCCCGTGTCAACTAACCTAACGCTTTTCAAATAATAATTTAACTGAATTGAGTAGATTTTATTTTTTATTCAAATACTTTAAACTTTTTATTTAAACATATAACAATTAAAGAAATAAAAACAGCAAAACGTATCTAACAAACTCCTAAATAAACGCATATTGTTTAACCCACATAACAAGCATAACATCTAATAGCAATACCTATCGTCAGATGAACACGAATGAACTCGCACTGTCTGATCCGTCTGATGAACACGCACTGTCTGATCCGTCTGATGAACACGCACTGTCTGATCCGTCTGATGAACACGCACTGTCTGATCCGTCTGATGAACACGCACTGTCTGATTCGTCTGATGAAGAAGAACTGGCCATTTCTTCTGCTGAAGGCACACCGTCTAATGAAGATGCATCGTGTGATGACAAATCGTCCTGTGATGAAATCTCATCATCGTGTGATGGAGACGCATCATCGTGTGATGGAGACGCATCATCGTGTGATGAAAGCACATCCTGTGATGAACATCCAATAAATTCAGATAACAAGTGAGCGAGACCAGTTGTGAGAGCAGATGTGGACGTCATCGATGCTTTCAGTATATTAAGACACTGCATCAAAACAACTATGCAATGAGAAACCATGATAAAAGTGGAAGAAATGTTCAAAACACAATAAAAAAATAAAATAAAACTACATATAGAATTACCTCCACGAGCCCAATGCTGACAACCTTTTCCTTCAGATCAAGGGAAGAACTATCTAAACCGGAGATTAAATTTGAATCTGAAGTGGGAGATGATTGTGTTACGACCAAATCATCGGTAACAACAAACATCCTCTCATTACCTTCATTAGTTGTCGATGATTCAAAACGAATCAGGGGCATCAAAAGGAGCAAGTAAGGATCAACAAGCCTGTTTTTTGTTAATCTTGACATGAAATATAACTCATCATTCATATCAACTATGCTTTTGTATAATCCATCGATGCTGCCCACACCGCTATTTCCTCCCAACTTACGCACAATTCCTCCCAAAGGAAAGGTCAGAAAACTAAAAAGCATGTCTGCGATGTCGTTGGGCCCAAGACCATACAAAACTTTGCCATCCGATTTTCTTATAAATAGCTTCAATGGGAATTTGATCTCGCCATTATTCTCAACACTACCTGAGAAAAACGTTGGCCTCTGAATGAGTGTTTTCTTTTCTAAAAGCAGATCTGTCAAACATGATTTGGAAAGGAGAGAACACTTCAACAAATCCAGTACCTATACAAAATATTGATATCAAATATGAGAAGAAAAATAGAATTGATAAGAACAAGGAGTGTTTTAGGGAAATTAGATGTAAAAAAGAAGAACCTTTTTCTTGGTGACATCCACTGTAATTTCCTTCAATGAAAACGGACCTTTGATTCCCAAATCGCGCAGTATAGCCAATCTTGGATAGTCCGCAGGTTTTGGCATTAGAATGAGATCATCAGTGATGACAAAAATGGCAACATCATTGACAAATCCATTCTGTGAAGATTCCGAGAAAGGCCCAGGAGAGACAAATGTTTGTCTGGGGGGAGTGTCATCAATGTTAACCTTAAGAGTATTGCAAAAATCTGCGGCCGTGTTCCTGGGACGCAATAGCATTTCCTTATTATATCCCTGTCTCCACAGATTCCTGTCGTCAAGAGCTGCCACACTATGATAGAGTGAATTGAGAGAACCTATTGTTACTGGACCCTTGTTGGACTCGTATTCCACAAGTCTGATGATGGTTCCTAAAGGTAGGGTTAAGAAGCTACATAAGATATCTACAAAGTCTTTCTTAGCTTCGGCAAATACCACTTTGTTGGTGTGTTTGTTCACTACAAGTTTCAACGACACTTGCGCTTCAGTAGTAGCCATGGTAGAACACGTGAACCACAACGAAGAAAACCAGATTCGTAACCCTAGATACTATAAACTCCAACTACTGCGTTTATGTTCACTCTACTATCGCCAAACCATTTCAGTTTCTATTTATAGCCGTGGTGTTAATGAAAATCTCTTCCATCATTTATCGCCAAACTATAAAATTTTTGTATTTTAAAGTATTATTTTTCATCATCTAATTCTTTATATACATATATAAAAACAGAATTATACTGAATTTGTTTTTTATAATTTTCAACCATTCTTTTTAACCTCCCAGATAGCATTTATCTGTTTAATGGAGGGATGATTTCGAAGTATATGGATAGTTATTTGGTCTTTTAGAACAGGCTTTGATGTACAAGTATTATAAACCAATCATTCAACAATCACATACATTGACTACACCTTAAGAAGTATATAAAAACTTAGTTCAAAATATGATATTTTTTGTCAACCACCAAGTTTGCTCGCTCACCTAAAAGTGTTTGTTAGCCCACTCGCTCAGCCACCATGACTCGTTGTGAGAAAACAGAAACAGTGGTTTATGCTCGCTCAACGACTACACTCGCTCAATTAGACGTGTTTTGCTCACTCAGCTAGAATACACTCGTTCATATTGACTCCATAGTTATGCAACAACAAAATTGTAAAATTTGCACCCCTCAATGACTCATGACCTATTCTAATGTCTTTCTCAACTCCTAACATCCTAGATTGTATTCTAAACTCAAATGAACCTAAACAAATGTATCTAATCTAACCTAAACTCATTTTAAATTGATTGATCACAAGATTCCAATCAAAAATTAATCAAAACCACACTTTAGAGATGGATTCAAAGTTATGAAGGTTAGTTCTAAGGTGGAACTTCTTTGTGTCGTTTCAAGTATTGTTAGAATGAATGCAGGTAGCTCAATCTTAGGGGTTATCCTAACACTCTAATGGTCACACATTCTTGTATAGAGAGGTTTGATGCAAGTGGTGAGAGTAGCAGGAGATCTTAATCTAGGTGCTTCCATTATGGCCTATGACACGGTACAAACTAACCTTGTGATGTGTGGTAGGGTGAAACCCAATTGGCAAGGGCTTTACAAAACAGTAATGACAATCACGAGTGCAAAACCTGTCATAGCTCGACATTCATTCTAAGTCCGGATAGTCTAGTCAAAGTATGGTCATGTATAAAGTGTTTAGTTGGTTGGTGTGATATGTGTATCATGTGTATAATGTGTAAATGTTTATATATACCATTAAATGTTTGTATTCTAGCTTACCCTTGCTTTTGTGTTGTTTATTGTGTGTTGTTTTCTCTTTTGTGATGATCACTTAAATGGTGTGAACTTAGGGAGAAAGTATTTTCAGTTGTTTTAGCGAAAGGTGAGAGTGAAGTAGATGAGTTGGTAGATGGATCTACAGAAGTAGATATATTGTCTTTATGTAGATTTGTTTTCATCTAAGTGATTTTGTTATCATATATGTAACGTAATATTTTAGTAGTTTTATACTATTAAAATGGGATTTTACATTAATTGTAATATACTCTTAGTGAATCAAGTGGATATTTAGCACAACATATATGTTAATAGTTAATACACAATTCAAACAATGGTTCACTTATCATCCTAAATATTTAATCCTAAATTCATACAAATTTATTTATTCTTGGTAAACCTTATCATACAATATTACTCAGGTAAATAAAACACAAATCATTCTAATGTACTAATTAATATTCATTTTACATTTTGCTACAAGAATGCTTGCATTTAGCTTCAAAAAAATAATGTTGGTGCAAAAGTTACGCTATTAGAGTCCATCAATACAACTTTAAAGCCAACTCTAAAAAAAATGAAAAATAGATTAGGGCAAAATGACTATAAATAAAACATAAAGATAGGAAACATTGATGAAGAGCTATGACTACGAAAATTGTTTGATGAAATGCCTAAATGAAACCCTAATATACAAAGTATTTGTTATAATATCACGATGAATGAAAACTATGATTTATACTATGCAAATGCTTGGGACAAGTTTAGATACCTAAAACTAAGTATTATATACATGTGGAACCGTTTAATAACTTACAATTCAAGAAATCACCATATAAACTAAAATTGGTAGAATTGGAAATGTACTAATGCTCGTCAGCTTTTGACAAGTGTAAAATGTGATTGTATATGCATACTTGAGTTATGTGCAATGTAGATGCATGAGGCCTAATTGAATCACTATAACTAGGCATGAGAGGTATGTCAAACTGTTAAAATATGAAAAATTCATAAAACCCCATATTCGAAATCATAGGAAAACAATAGAGGGGTGAATAATGTTTTTAATATTCTTTCGCAAAGCAATGTTTAATGAAGTGTAATATATATATATNCTCCTAAATAAATTAGTGCACAAAAATAATAGGTGTCCAACTTGATCATTAAGAAAAGAAAATGTGATTTACCAAGAATTTGAATAAAGTATCAGTTAATTGTGTATAGGTTATTACATATAAGTTGGTTTCATTAAAAATTTCATCTCAAACAATGTAATAATCAATTTCTTTGTCCATTCATGGAAGACTAGGTTTTTAACAAAATAAAGGGTTACTTTATTATAACAAAAAGACATACATTGGCTAAGAGTGTGGGGAAGATAAAATATTTTTTAACCATTTAATTCATTAATAATGGTTGCCAATGAATGAATATTGATAAGAGAGTATCATTTGTTTCTTTATCAAACATATCTTACCCATATTTTAACTCTTAAAAAGTAATTAATAATGCAAACAATATTTTCTCTAATATATGCAACAATTTCACCTAAAGTTTAAACTAAAAATCTAGATGGATTATGTAACAGTAAGTTATTGTGAGTAGTACACAATCATTAAGTCTAACAGTTTCACCATTCAACCTCTTCAAGCAATCAAAACAGAGCATATGGTGGAGGTTTAGAAGGCATTTTATAACAAACATAACTTTAAGTTTCACAGAAAAGATCTGCATGTTATAAAATCATATCTATGGTTTCTTAATATCTTATATTTCTTAACAGGTGTTGTAATTGGAGGATGTGTCTTCATATTTTGTTGTTTTAGACGTAAGTCTTTAACCCGACTGGTCAAATTTCGTTTTACCAGAAACCATGATTCAAATATTGAAGCATTCCTAAGAAATCATGGAGCCATAGCACAGAAAAGATACAAATTTTCAGAAGTGAAAAAAATGACCAATTCATTCAAAGTTAAACTTGGTCAAGGTGGTTTTGGTACAGTATACGAAGGAAAACTACTAACAGGTAGCCCTGTGGCCGTAAAGTTACTGAAAGCATCCAAAAGAAATGGTGAAGAGTTCATCAATGAGGTTGCCAGCATCAGTAGAACATCTCATGTTAATATTGTCACACTTGTTGGATTTTGTTTGGAAGGCTCTAAAAAGGCTCTCATCTATGAGTTTATGGCTAATGGTTCTTTGGATAAGTTCATCTACAACAGAGGGCCAGAAAATATTGTATCTTTGACCTGGGAGAATTTATATCAAATTGCCATAGGAATAGCTAGAGGGTTGGAGTACTTGCACAGAGGCTGCAACACTAAAATTTTACATTTTGACATAAAGCCACATAATATTCTTTTGGACGAGAATTTTTGTCCTAAAATATCAGATTTTGGACTAGCAAAGCTGTGTCCCAGGAATGAAAGCATTATTTCTATGTCTGATAAAAGAGGAACAATGGGGTATTATGCTCCTGAAATGGTCAATAGACATTTTGGTGGAGTTTCACAAAAGTCTGATGTGTACAGTTATGGAATGATGCTACTGGAAATGGTAGGAGGAAGGAAGAACATTAATCCTGAAGCTAGTCATACGAGTGAGATATACTTCCCACATTTTGCATACAGAACACTTGATGTGGATAATGATGTGAGACCATATGAAGTGATGAATGCAGAAGAAGATGAGATTGCAAAGAGAATGACTGTAGTTGGCTTATGGTGCATTCAATCGCTTCCAAATGATAGACCTACAATGAGCAGAGTGGTAGAAATGTTGGAAGGTAACATGAATTCTTTGGAAATGCCTCCAAAGCCTCCTTCTTGATCAGAAACATAATCTTCCTCCTGAAATTGGTATTATTGCATTTTGGTAAAATCTTTCTAGTTATAATGTAAAAGGAGGATCGCTCAACTCATTTGTTTAGTACTATTCTGGAAAGCAAATGCATCTCATGTGTTTGTTAAATTGCCACTACATGATTGCTGAAGCTAGACCAATTGTGTATGATAACTTTCTTTTTACAAGGTAAATTTTAGTGGATAAGTGGTAAAAAGGTTCCGACAGAAGTGTTACTGAAAAGTGAAAACCACAGGGACTAGTGAAACTAAAGATGTAGCTTCAAACCTTGTAATAGGATTTATGACAAGATTATGCAACTATTGAGAACTGTTTCTTCGACTTCTTCTCTTTTTCTCTGATGAGTTATATTTATCCTCTCTTCATTTAGTTATTTCTCTTCATAATCAATAGGTTTCTCCTCTCTGAATTTTCAAACTGTTTGTAATTGAGATTGGGGTTTTAAATAAAAATATTATAAGAAATAAAAACAAATATGAAGTATGTAATTTAGATAAAAAATAAAAATCGGACTCGATAAAAAATACTAATAACTCCTGTAGATATAGTTTACTTTTGCTATTTATTCAAAAGATCAATTTCATTGATTTACTTTTAAAAGGGTTGAATTTAATCTATTAATATTTTAAAAAGTTTGACATTATCATTTCTGCTAAATCAATTTGGTGGAATCTTTGACTGCGTCGGTTTAAATTGCGAAGTAACTATACCGTGACCTTTTTCATGTAATAAATCATTTCTGAGTTTTATTGATATGAATAGATTATTAAAAAAAAAAATTAAACTAGACTCTTTTGCATGCTTTCTTGAGGTGAAAGATTAAATTTTTATCATGTTTTTTTGTACTTTTGTAGGTTGTTTATCGCTAAAATTATATTATTTGAGGAAGGAATTCTTAACTACATTTTTTGTTTGTTTTATATAGATTTGTATATTTATTTATAATAAATTACTTTATTAAAATTTTAATTTTTTTATCAACTTATATGAATATAAATTTAAAAAATATATTTAATTTAAAATTTATAAATTAATTAGGAATAAAAAATTTGAAGAGTGATTACAATAAATAAGATAATTTAAATATATTATAATTATGGTAATAGAAAAATTATCACAATAAAATGTTGTACTTATGATTATATTTTATAAAATTAATTTTGATAAATGTATATTTATTTGGTTAAAATAATGTATATTGTGTGTAATAAATTAGAAAAGTAAAATTAAATAATAATACGATTGTAGATGATAATATTTGAAAATAAAATTAACATAAAGTTAAAAATTAGTAACAAATGTAATTTAGATTTATTTATAAAAAATTAGTAATATAAATGTAAAACATTTAAAAAAAGTTATTTAGAAAAATATATAAATTTTAAAATATAGAAAAATATAAAAATTCTTAATAGAATTTTATAAAAAAATTTAAAATACAAAAGGTATAAAATTCAAATTAGATAATTATTAACCGAGCCATAGAAAAAAAAGAAAGGTAGAGTTTGATATTTTGTTTGTCTGGGTGAAAGTTCAAAGTTTGATCATTGACTGGTTAAAACGTAGACAAATTGAAGTCTGTAAGCTATGCACGCGCTTTTGAAAGAATTTATTTTGTTGGTAATGTATGAGTTTTTGGGTTGATAATCCTGATCTTTCCACGTGTCAGTCTCCTTCTCTTCAATCTTTTTTCCTCCATAAACTTAGGAATTTTAGTATGAAGAACATAATATGATATAATGAAATGGCTCATATTACTAACATAAAATCTTGTCACCACAATTTACTGAGTAAGGAACTCTTTGAAAATGTGAATACAGTGCTTGTTAAGTTGACTTTGATAGGGAAAAAAGCCAGAGTGTGGTCCCTTCTTGTTTCTAGGTGGAGAGAAATTTCGAGTATCTTTCAACTTTATTACACATTAAAACCTATACATTATTGGATCTACTCTAATTGACCTTGGAATTTCTCTTTAAAACGTAAGACAGACACTTAGCTATTTCCTATGTATGCTAATGCATTGAAACTAAACATGTCCCGCAGACTCACTCTCTTCTTTCTGTTCTCTGCAACTGCAGCAACGCTTCTTCTTCCAACTACATGTGATGTGAACTTCAGCACTTCGTCTATGCTTCTGGGTACGTATAGATCCATGCAACCACATATCAGAAGAAATCGTACGTACATGTATACCCACAGGTTTTTCGTTTCCTTGATTCAACTAAAAGCATACTATTGATGGTACTGGTTGCAGGTCAAAACCACTCAAAAATCGTAAACAAAGTCAGTGATCTTTTCATGGCATGTGTCGGTAGAAAAAGTAAGTATCCTTATATATATATATATATATATATATATATATTATATATATTAAGCAGTTTTAATTATGCATCTTCAAAATTAGTGAGTAAAAAAAGGAAAGTTAGTGAGTCCCAGCAGACAAAATTTTCTATATAAAAGATTGAGGAGTGGAATATTTCTCTAAACAATTACTCTAAAGTTAGTGAAGATGGAGTACGAAAACTAGGATTATTAATTATCCAAAAGTATTTAAAAAAAATGCTTAAAGACGAGGAAATAAAGGCAAAGTGAAAGAATGAGAAAAGACAGTGAAAGAGGGAGAAGAGTGCTGAAGAAGATAACGTGCGCAGGTAGAAGAGGTCCAAGACCACTTTTTGAGTTTTTCTTACTTTAGTTATATGTCGTATTCGATTAAATTCACTAAATTTAAGTAGAAGTAAATTATATTTAACCTTTTTATAGAGATTTTAAATGGGTAAACAGTGTACGCAACCAAAAGGAAGTAATTTTTTATTTTATCATTTGTTTTAATAACTAATGACAATGCATAAATTAAATATACTATTTTTATAATAATTGTTTAAAATTTATTAATATAAATTTTTTATTGATTATTGATAGAATTTTTATAATAATAGTAATAATAGTATATAAAATAAACTCTTTATTTCATTTTAATAAATAAACAAACCTTTTAAGCACAATTTTTTGTTCTCTTCGTGGCTCTTAATACCATGAAAAACTAATTCTGATGCAAAACTTCGGGACTTTACTATTTGAATAGTTTAAAAGATGATAGCTGGCCATTTTATTTTATCTAAAAAGCTAATAATTAATTACCTTTAAAATTGAGAGACAATAACGAAATTTTAGAATTTGAATTTGAATATTTAATAAAATAGTATATATATATATATATATATATATATATATATTTTAAATACGATGTTTACACGTTAAATTTTATGGAGTGCATATATAGAAAACATTTCAATAAGCAAAACAATAAAGCACATATTTTATATTAGTTTACTCAACCTGAATTACATCTAGTTCTTCCTTAAGAACTCTTAAGAGGTTGCACTAATCTTCAACAAGTTTTACCTTTACAGGTTTACAATGATTATTCTTACCATTCTTGGTTCACCTAGTTAACACGACTAGTCCGAGTTTAACCACTCTTAGTATACAAGTATTCTAATGACTTCTGGTTCAACCCTATACAACTCGTTAGACTATTTAATTCAATTGAGCTAAACACCAAGTGCTTTAGTTATTTTTAGAATGTACAACACAATTAGTGTTATGAGAAAATACAGAATGACAACTCTCAAAGAGAAGATGAATACAATAGAAAAGAATATGAGATGTTGCTAAGGTTTTTCTCTCTTAAAAAATTTAGCTTTAAAATGATGTATCAGTATAGTAAGTTTGTTTGAATGTTCACGAGTTCACTATATTATTCTTCTTGTCTTCTCGTTAGACAGAAAGGTTGACTTCATGTACAATATGTAGTCTTTTTAGGTGAGAAGTCAAACTCAACTCTATTTTGTAGAGGTATAATGCTTTGTCATAGCTTTTAGCAAAACGTAGCTTGTACGATGTGATAGAGTAGAATGCTTCAAGGGAAACTTTCGCAAAATGTTCTGTATATCTCTCAACGTTTTTTTTCTTGGATGTAGTGATTCTGATAAAGTTTTTTTGCTTTCGTGATTTGCACAAATATAAAAAAACAAGTTATACAAGCATTGAAACATTTCATCGTACATGCATTAAATATTTTGAACGTTGATAACCATTAGGTTGTATTGCATGTTCAAAACATTTTATCATTTTTTATTTCATTAATAAATGCATCATTTGGTAAAGTATTCAACATATATGATGATCATATGGTGTAAAACATTATATGCTTTATCAAAAGTTGTTTGAGTTATGTGGTGTTTAACAATCTCTTATTAGACGGTACATTTCATAAGACGCTTGCTTGAATTAACACTGTTTTGAATAACATTCTTTAAGTTATGGTGTTACCATTGACGCTTCTATTCATAAGACGCTAGCCTGTTAGACATTGTTTGTTTAAACGTTTAGATGTTGTTCATGAAACGTTGTTTGTTACACATATCCTCTATTAGATGATACATTAAGAAAGATGCTTCCTTTTGTTAGACGATGTTCATAAAGCTTTATCCATCAGACAGTATGGTTTAGAAAATGTTATTATAAGTTTGTTTTCTCTTAGACACTATTTCTTTAAAACAACATTCATAAAGTTGATTCAATACTTTTTATTAAACTTCACAATTTTAGTCTTGTCGCAACCGGAATCGCGACGGGACGACGATCCAAAAAGAAACGGATTTTAGAAAAGAGATTTGGAGTCGCCACCATAGTTTATTATGGAAAACTACGGAAAAACCATAAAAACGATAAAGCACGGTCCACGAAAACCAAAGATTGGGTTCGGGAGTCGGTTACGCGTGGGGAAGGTGTTAGCACCCCACAACGCCTGCCCTAAGGCAGTACCTTTAACTAAATGCACGAATATGATGTGGTTTTCAAAATGTTTAATTATTCCATAAAAATAAAATTCTAAATAAACAAAACATATTTTTTAGTTTTTTGGGCCCGACAAGGATTGACCTTGCTCCTACGTATTCTCATTCAAAATGAGAAATCAGGGTTACGTAGTTCTAGCTGAAAGATTGTTTGTTCGTTTGAAAGTGTTGATGTTTTTAGCTTTTGAAGATTTTATATATTTGTTTTTTGACATTTTCGAGAAAAAGAAGGTAATGAGTACTAGGCCGACGCGAACGGTCACACGAGTACTCATACCTTTAGAATGGTATTTAAATATGTTTAATTATTTTCTTTAAAAAGAGAAATAACGATATTAAGCACTAGGACGATGCGGACGATCACACGAGCACTCATACCGTTATTTACTTATTTAGGAAGACTTGAGAGTATTGAGTGCTAGGCTGATGCGGACGATCGCACGAGCACTCAT